CCCCCCCCCCCAAACCCTATTCTAATATTTAAGGGCCCCTTTAGCTTGGCTCCGAACCCCAACCTGCAAGTCCGGATCCCATGAGGGCATCGGCCTCATAACCAGGCAGAGCATGGATCCGGATATTGGTGTCTTGCGGTTTAGGGGTTTAGGGTTNNATGGATACATGGATACATGGATGGATGGATGGACGGAGGGATGAGGGATGGATGGGTGGATGGATGGATGGATATACATGGATAGATGGATAGATGGATAGATAGGCAGGTAGGTGGGTAGGTAGGTAGGTAGGTAGGTAGGTAGGTAGGTAGGTAGGTAGGTAAGTAGGTAGGTAGGTAGGTAGATAGATAGATAGATAGATAGATAGAGATAGATAAAGGTAGGTTAGGGTAGGTAAAGATAGATCAAGATAGATAAAGCTAGATCGATAGAGATACGCACGAACAGACCCCCTGATCCCAAGAGGCTACCTTTGGCGCAGCCTCGAGTCGGTCAACTCGGCGCCAGAGCCGCTGTTGGCTTTCCTTTGTGGCATAGGCCTGGCTCGAGCTATCAAGGAGTTCATGGTTTCAGGGTTTGGAGTTTAGGGTTTAGGGCTCGAGTTATTAAGGACTTCATGGTTTCAGAGTTGGAGTTTAGGGTTCTAGGGCTCGAGCAATTAAGGACTTCAGGGTTTCAGGGTTTGGAGTTTTAGGGTTTAGGGTTGTTGAAAGTGGGTGTTTAGGGCTGGGCGTCTATCAGGCCTTGGCCAAAGGGTTATGAGAAATTTGGTAAGTTTCACCGGGTTTCAAAGATTTGGTGCTTAAGGGTTGGACTTCTTTACAGGCCGAAAGCGGGCAATGTTGCTCAGACGAGCAGAAACCTAAACCCTAAACCATCAGACGAGAAGAGAGTTTCTGCGAGATGGACATGCTAAGGGATCTCTGTTACGTCGGAGGAACTTGGCTGTGAGGCTCTGGGCTCCTTGGGTTTAGAGTTTAGGGTTTCAGGGTTGAGGGTTTAGGGCTGAGGCTCTGAACAGTGGATCGCCCAGAGGATCGGCCAGGGAATCGGGAAGGCAGCGCAAGCTTCTCATGGGTAGTTCTCTAAAATAGAGTCCCTGTTTAGATCCCCACATTGGTACGGCACCCACATAAAAGCAACCCTCAAAGGGACCCTAGTTTAGAGAACTAACCTCATGCAAATGCAGATCTGTCGGAAGAGGTTCCTGGCTAGTTACAAGCGGGGCTATGAGTAGGGTAACTATCATTGTAACTCATATGAGGGGACTTATAACCCTGCAAAGTGACACTAATACGAAGGCAAATACCAGAACCGCCTTTACTCGATTATTTGCAACTGAAAAACACGTGAAAATTCCGCAGCTTCCTGGAGAACCCATTGAAAATGGCACCCCGAATTCTAAGGAAACTTCATACAACAAAGCATCAGAGAACACCCTGTACAGCCTGAATAGTAAGAAACCCTCACTGACTTGTTGGAAATAAAAACCTATACACTCTTCTCATAAATAACATGTGTTAAGAAGTTACAAGTTTGTTCACGCAATCTCCTCTATAGTTCAAGAATCCTGTGGAACCCTTCAAGCAGATACCCAGCCTTTGGAGAAAATCCCAAGATTCCTGTCTTAACAACACAATGCCTTTGGGAGGCCACACCAGGATGCCTACATACAATTCGAAGACCCCGAAACCTAAAATCTGAAAACCCTATAACCCTAAAATTCAAAACCCTCAGCCCCTGAACTTAACCTACAGCGCAGAACCCTGCGCCCAGTAACCCTAAGCCCCAAAACAGTCTCAAGATTGAAAGGTCTTACCTTCGAGGCGGCTAACCTGGACCACTCTTTGCGCTACCGCGACATCTTTCGACAGGTGCAGGGGTCGTTTTTGAGGCTCGCAACGACCTGAGATTCCAAACCATGGGGCCCACACGCCCCAGTAGTAGGGCTGTAGGTGCGAATACCATCTGGAGCCTGAACTCTAAAGTTCTAAGTTTCCAAAACCCGTGTGAGATCCCCAAACCTTGCCTGGACGCTGAATAACAACCTTCTAAGGACTTTTAGATGCAAATGAGAATGCGGAACCCGAAAAAAGTAGGTTCTTTAGGGTCACAGGTAAACCTTAGACCTTACTGGCAATCCTTTGGTTTACGTGCCTTCAGGGGCCCTTGTTCCGAGTTTGGGTTTCCCTTTGGAGAGTGATTGTTTTATGCTGTGGGTTTTACCAGAACAAGAATAGCGAGGTGGAGATACATGCTTGCCTGATATTTCCTGAAACAGCACTTACTATCTAGGGTTGGGACTTCGGGTTATGAGGTTTCGGGGCTGAGGAACTGGACGCTTAAACCCTAAACTTGAAATCCAAAACCCTAAACCCCTAAACCCCTAAACCTTAAACCCTAAGAACTACCCCGAAACCTGAACGCCTGAAGTCTGACGCGAGAACGGACAGGCGGGAGACGAAGACAGCGCGGCAGTGTTGCAGCGTGTGCACGACGAGGCTTGAAATGGTAAGGGATGTGGGTAAGCATTATCCCTCCCTCCCTCCGTTCCTCCGTCCCTCCGTCCCTCTCTCTCTCTCTCTGTCTATCTCTCTCTCTCTCTCTCTCGTGGGCTTCCTTCGGCATGCGATGACAGGTGGAACTCCTGTGTTCGGGGCTCCGCTTGGAGAGAGAGGAGTTTTTGGTCCGCAGCTTGCAGGCTCAGGATAGACCCAGCAAGCGTGCTGCAGAATTCGAGATGTTCGAGCCAGGGCGCGAAGGGTTTGCTTTAATCTCCGATCTGCTGTCCCCTTGGCATTCTTGAGGAGATCCAAGAAGGAACAACTGGATTTTAAGTTGGCATGCGCCGAAGACGGTGCAGCAGAGCTGCTGTGGCCCTGCTGCTTTGCGGGCTCGGCCTCCCGACGCTGTGGAGTGCAGCTGTTTCCATGCACCCGAGCAGTTCCTGCGTCGCCTTCGTAGCTAAGTTTTGCGAGGGGCCTCCACTCGGAAAGCATCGAGGATTTGGCATTGGCAGGGGTGGCTTGCAAGTCACCACGGAAGAGCAAAGTCGTCCGGCGTCACTTACGGTGGGGTGTTGGCCTTTGGCCTTCTACTACCTGTGTTATAGCTATAGCCTCTCAACGAATGCGTTGATACCAATTCAGAAGTACCTGCAGCATAAGGTTCGGCAACGCAAGAGAAGCTCGCAAAGCTTTGAGTGCTGTTACTGTTCCGGTTCCACATCAGTCAGGTACATGAAAACCTTCAAAACTGAAGTCTGACACTAGCTTTTGCTTTCCGAGGCCGCGACGAGGCCTTCATGGAGCGCCTGCGAACCCTGGCACGGGAGGCGCTTCCAAGCAGACGTTTTTTTGGCGTGAGACCCTATAGGCTTTTTTGTCTCCCTAAAGTTGGCTCTTGTTTGGGGCCCTTGTCGGGGTTGGCCTAGGCCCTTGGTCCTGTGGTCCCCTGGTCCAGGTCCTCTGGTCTGGTCCGTGGTCCTTTGGTCCCTTGTTCCCCCGGTCCTCTGGTCTCTGGTCCCCTGGTCCTGCGGGTCCGCAACCACCTCCGATCTCTTTTATAGCCTTATCGCCCGGGTCGTGGGCCACAGGCTGCGGCCAGTGAAAAATTGGGGGCAGGTTTAGCAAATGAGATCTGTGAACCAGAATCGCCACAGAGGGACCGTACTGAAGACATATGATGAGGGGCGTGTCTAAACTACGTGATGAACCTCGGTCGCCACACGAGGGGGCGTGTTTAGGATATATGATGAACCTGAATCGCCCAATAAGGGAAGGGTGTGTTTAAGGACATATGATGACAGAACCGCAACATGAGGGGGCGTGTTTAAGACACATTATGATGAGCCGGAATTGCCAAATGAGCGGCATGTTTAAGACGTATGATGAACTGAAATCGACAAATAATTTTTTGCTTAAGATATATGCTCAACAGCAACAGCAACAACAACACAATCTATCTGGAGTGTCTGTTAAGTACGCACGTGTGTGTGTGTGTGTGTGTGCACGGAATGCAACGTACCCTCCGAGCATGCATCAAGACACCATCGACAATCCTTCACACACAAGTGCTTTGCGCTGCTTTGTCAGCCCCCCACCCAGGGCACAACAATGCCCTACAAGTTGGAAGTCCTCAATAGCTTGACACACTTCAAATGGTAATTCTCCGATCGCTTTGATGCAAGACAGGAGCCTCGAAATTGCACTCCCCCAACAGCTTGGGGCAAAACGATACCCTACAAACAATGGAATTCCCCAATAGCTTGACACGGCGCAAAAACCTGCAAATTGTAATTCCCCAATAGCTTGAAACAAAGCAAGACCCTGCAAATTGTAATGTTGCAATAGCTTGACGCAAGACAGGAGGCTGGAAATTCCACTCCCAACGAAACTCTGCTGATTGCAACTCCCCAATAGCTTGACGCAAAAACAGTAGCAGCCAATGCTGCAATTGACAGCATTTGCAACCAGAAAAGAAGGGCCAATGAGGCCGGGGACCGCCAGCGGTAGGAAACAAAAGCCCCTCCGCCGGTCAACATAACAGGGAATGTGAGGTGCTTGTGAGCCGGAAGACGAGTCTGACCAAGTTTTGTTGTGTTAAGACTACATGTGGACATTGGCAATATGGGTTTTGCATACACCACTTGCGAAACCAAAAAGGCCTGCAGTTAAAACGAGATGGTTAAGGATGGTGGATAGTGTACATGCTACATATATGTATATATGTATATATACATACTTATATTTACATACATATGTATATATATATATATACACACACACACACTACATACTATACACGTGTCAGTCGTTCTACGTTCTTACTTACATGAACTGAGGAAAAGTTATTTGTACGTGCATTCATTCGCACATGCATGCCTGCTACGTACAAGTTTCAAACATTCAGCTAGTCGGCATGGCAAAGTTCTGGTTCGGAATGCCGAACAAGCACGAGATAGCGAACGAGATAGTGAACGAGACAGATTACATTGACGAGGGTGGTCGCAGACAGTCAGATGAAGTCTCCACAGTGTGCATAATCGCTCACGTCGCACATGCTTGCTATGCAGCGAATCTATGCGGAAGTGTGGGGTGGGTGTCGGGGTCGGTGTGAGTGTGTGCGTGTGTGGCTGGGTGTGGGTGGGGGCCAGCCGCGGCGAACAGGTTGCATGCTCACTATACCTTGCGTCCAATACTGCAGGCGTTGACTTGGCATTTCCTCGAGGACCACCAGAGGGTGCTGTGGGCGGCGGTACTGGAGTTCGATGCCGTTCCGACACAGGCGCAGTACTGCCGCTGCACGTGCCAAATCCATTTAGCCCATTTAAAATTTAGCCAGGCAGCGGGGCATATCAAGGGAGACAGCTCATGGTGCATCTTGGCATTGTGCTGCGCAGGACCTGCCGCCCTGGTTCTTCGAGCGGCAGAACTTCACTCGGCGGCACCTAGGCTTGGATGTGGGGTTTTCTGAGCAGTCGGACGCAGATTCGCATGGGATCGAGCTTCGCTTCTTCAATTCCTGCCAGGCGTGGACCTCTTCAGCCTGGATGGAAAGCGTGCAGTACTTTGTCGTGCTGGCAATGCCACACACAAGGATGTAAAGCGGTTCCTGCGAACGGCCAACTGCGTCTGCCAGGCCGGGTCATCCGATCTAGTTCAAGTAGTTTTCCGAAGTGTTTCGAGCCTTTTCAATCACATCCACATGCATCCGTCCTAGGCTCCGCAATGCACGCTTTGGACCTTCCGCGGCTGCAAGATCGCCCGTGCTTCCAGGAAGTGGCTCCGAAATTATGGGTGCCATCACCAAATCCTAGCCAAGCGGAACCTGCGCAAGCTTCAGCAGGGTGCCAGTGCCTCTTTCGATGCTCCTTCATCAGGTCAGGCGCTGCCGTTAGCGCCACCGCTGCGGCCGTGTCAGGAGGCCTGCCTGGAGGCCTGCGCCAAGGGAGCCAGGGTCATCGAGATGGCCTGTGGCACGGGGAAAACGCGCGTGATCCGTGAGCTGGCGGCCAAGCAGAAAGAGAAGGCGGGGAGATACGGATTTGGCAGAAAAGCGGGACTGGAATGACTATTTGCAGTCGACGACTTTCAATCATAGATGCTGCTTTAGTGTCCAGGTCTTGGTCACCGTTCCCTCGCGTGTGCTGCTGGAGCAAGTCGCTGTTGAGATGCCTGGCTTCTGCAAGGTGGGCACGCGCTACAACAACAACATCAATATGACATCCCATGGCTTCATTGCGGTGACTGACTCGGTGCATCTTTTGCGGAAGCTGGATTTCGCGGCTATCTTTGTGGACGAGGCCCACCATCCCTTGCCTCCAGGACTGCCGAGCTGTAAAGAGCTCTTCCAGTTCTCAGCCACGCAGAAGGAGGAAGTGGATTTCAGATACAGCCTCGGCGAAGCGATTGAGGATGGCGTGCTGTGCGACTACGACCTCACGATGCCGGTGGCGACCAACCGCCATCCCTACATTTGCCTTGCGAATTTGCTGCTTTCGCAGGCTGGGCGATTTCGGCGGGTGCTCGCCTACTGCAACTCCGTCGCAGAAGCCAAGCGATTTCGGCAGGTGTTGGAGACTGTCGGGTTGGCGGCGTGGCACATCAACGGGCGCTCCAGCCGACACGAGCGGGACAGGGTGATGCACGAATTTGCGCAAGATTTGCAGAAGCCCGTGCATGTGCTGGTGACGGTTCAGGTGTTGGGAGAAGGCATCAACATCCCGAACGCCGACACATGCATGTTCGTGGAGCCACGCAGCAGCTACGTGAGCATCATTCAAGCCATCGGCCGGGTGCTGCGGCCGCATCCGTCCAAGCCTTTTGCCCATATTGTGTTGCCTGCGATTGCGATGGCTGCAGTGCCGGCGTCAGCTGTCACTCCTCGCGGTCCTGGCCACGACTTGGGTGACAGCCGCGATGCGGCAAGAGGAATTGAAACTGAAACCGTGGCAACAAGTTTCGCATCTTCTCGTCAAGTTTTGGGTGAGTCGGCTGGCTCTGCAAGCAAACCTGAATCCGGAACTGCCGACCTGGTGTCGAGGCAGACCTCAAGCAGAAATAGAGCCGACGTCCACGACACGTCTCTTGTGCAGCACCATGATCCGGAGAAGGAGGCTGGACTTGGGAGTCGTCTCTCGCGGCCTGGTTCCTCCCCAATGCGGAGCTCTTCCACGCAGCCAGCCATAAGTGCCACTGCTGCCCCAGACACTTGGTCGAGTGCAGGGTTTATAAAGCCAGCGCCTGAAGCCAATTCAGAGTTGTTCAAGGTGGAGGAGCACCGGGAGGCTGCACGGTATCATGGACCCGGAGCAAGCGATGCTAAGCCAGCATCCACCTGCCAGAAGCTGAAGGTAAAAATGCCTGCCCGCAGCGTTGGTCTCTTCGGTCGTGAAAGTACCCGCCAGCTTGAAAGGTTCCTGCAAGTAATAGGAAACGCGGACAGCCGATTTCTTGCCACAGACACCAAGCACTTGCAATCTCGAATTTGCGTCTCAGACTGCCAATTGCAGCAGGGACTGTCACAGCTTTGGGGTCGCAGCGTGCAGTATCAGTTGGCGTTGATCCTGCAACGACGGGACCCCTGGGAGCTGCGCTTGCGGGCAGTTGAAGAATTTGTGCAAGAGCATGGTATTCTTCCACGAGAGGTCACGCAGATGCCTGCGGAGAAATCTTTGGCACACTGGCTGCGGCAAGCAGGGTACTATTTGAAGAAGCGGTTACTCACGGCAGCCAGGATGCAGAAGCTCCTAGACTCGTCATGTGGCAAGCTACGAGCCCGTGTTCAGAAGTGGCTCGACCCGCAGACGCCGTTTGAGCGATTCGTGAAGAAGTTGCGGGAATTTGTCCGGGTTCATCACCGCATGCCCATAGACAACAGGGCATTGTCGAAAGAGGAGTACAAACTAGCCCAAAGTCAGAATCAATTTCTGTTTCCCGGGCGCAAGGATCGTGAGAGGCGACTTCAAATTCTGGAGAAGGAGGGCCCCATCGTTGCGAAATGGGTGGCGTCAAAGCGAACAGGACATCCTCGACTCGACATGAAGAAGTGGAGGAGGAAGCTTCAGAAGCTGGTTGAGTTTTTGAACATGCATGGTCGACTGGCGCAGTCGGGGAGCAGTGAGCGCCCTATGTACGTTTGGTTGCATCAACAGCGACATCAGCTGGATCGTCTCCCTGCCGATCTCCGAGCGGAGCTTCTCAACTCGCACCCGCTAGTCGCATCTTTCTTGCAGAGCGCCCGGCCAAAACTTGTTTTCCCAGTTCCTGTATAATAGTTCCTCCACATCCTACGACTGGACACATGATCAGGAACTGAAGATAGCTTGGGGCGTCGCCCTTATAACCTAACGTAGCAGGATTCACCAGCACCCCTTGCAGGCATCTGCACTCTTGACTGAGAGCCCTTGAAGCCAGCTTGAAGCTAGCTACAATTTCACCATGCCCGACATGCTTGCCGGGCATTGTCCCAGCCTCCGGCCAGGTGTCGCAAGAACGCTAGCCTGCACAACTGTATTGTATTATTGTGGTGTTGCTGATCAGGGGCTTCGGCCAAGTGGTGTGGAGCAACCGAGACGTCTGACCAACTGTTCGGCAGCTTCTTGGGGTTTGTAACCTTGGAGCAACTAGTCTTACGAGTAGGCTTTGGGGCATAATCAATAGATCCCGCAACTACACTTGACTTTGTCCCCTGAACTCATTATCACTATCCGGAACCCGGCACGCGAATCCTGTTCTTTGGGTGTTAGGGTTTGTGACAACGTCCTTTTTTTCAGACGAACAGTCACAAGCAAGAAAGAAACATGCGAAGGAGGTGGAACACGTTCGCCTGGCCCACGTTTGGCTGCGCCGCCTTGCAAAAGACAAAGGCCTCGTTGAGGCCGGCAGTGGGTTTCGTGAGTAATTGTAGGGGCCTAAGTAATTACCAATACTATTTTGGGGGATTCCATATTTTAACTATAATAATAGGCCCCAGCCCTAGTCTAATTATTAAGGCCCCCATATCTATTGGTAGGGTTCAGGGTTGCTTTAGGGCTTCGGGGTTGTAGGTTCTGGTTCGATGTCAGCGAGTTCGGATCTTTCTGGGTTTATCGATTTTAAGGTTGAGGTTTGGGGTTTAGGGTCTGGGTTTGGGCCTGGACCGAGGGAGTTCGTCGCGTCAGGTCACGGGCTTCAGATCGGCGGATTCGGGTTCGGGGCTCCCCTTTTTGGCTGGTGGTTTTGGGCTCTCGGGCTCTGAACTTGAAATGCGTTTGAGGGCTTAGGGTTTAGGGTTTCTGGGCCACCAACGAAAAAGGCGTCAGCAAGCCCAGGCAACTTATTGCAGGACTTCTTTGGGCGAAGTTTCAGCCTTCTACAGCGAAGCCCGATCTCTAAAGCCCAAACCCCCCGAATTAAGCACACCCCATATCCGAAACCCATGGAACACCAGAATCCTACAGGCAGGTATACCGCTTCTTGGAGCTTCACGCCAGGTACTTGCCAGATAAGCTTCGCTTAGACAGGTTTAAGGGTTTACGGCCTAAGCTTTTGGGCTTAGGGTTAGAACAGGTTTAGGGTTGTAGATTTAGGGCTCAGTAGAACGGCGATCACGTATGCTAAGCCATGTACTCGTAGGCGAGATTTCCAACTCTCGTCATGCTTGGTCCCTACTGATAAGTCCAGAACCGCCACATCCTGGTTTCAAGGTTTGGGGTTTAGGGACCCCAAACCGCAGCAACTCCTCAAAACCTATACTTAATTGACTGGTCTTCTGGGCAGTTGGACGACTTGGCCCTCTACGATCGTGACCTGACTCCATTCAGAGAAAGGACGTAGGAGTTGGTAGACGGTGTTTTTGGTTTGCATGTTGGGTTCATGTTTCTTTTCAAGCATGGTTTGAGCAACTGGGTACTGTTTCCAGCACAGCTGCTTGGAATCGAAGTCAAACTCTGTTCACGAAGCAGGTATGATTATCGGTCAGCACAGGGTTTTCGATTATGCGATGTAAACGTCTGCACTGCCCATCTTTCAAGGCTCTAGAGATACTCAGCGTCTTCCCAAACCCCTGATCTGAAGAACCAGACTACATAAATACTGTTAAATACTGACTGCAAGCTTTCCATGCGAGCCGCCTATCTAAAACCTTAGCAGAGGTTGCAGCTAATGGTACCTTGCACAGAGTTCTGTATCAACGTTGAGCCCATAGCCATTTGGGAGTTTCCGAAAATAAGGGGTACCCTATTTAGGGGACCTTATAATGAGGATCCTACTATTTAGTGTACTACATTAGGGTCCCCTATTTTCGGAAACCCCCATTTCTAGCTGATAATCTCCGAAGTTTCACCCATCCCTTCCCCTCCAACCGCCGTCGACATACTTCCTAGTCGTATGCCCTTATTAGTCCTTCGTTATGCTACAGTGTACCCCAAAACCCTGCTCCAATTATCCTATGTATTAGGCAACCTTAACAGTGAAGCCTCCTGCAGGTGTAGCCTCAGGAAAGGCACTTTCGGGGTTCAGGGTGCAGGGGCCGCAATAAGTACAGGAATACCATTCCTTACAGCTCCCCTGATACGAAACCTACAAGCCCAGCTGGGCTGTTCAGTATAGTACGTGCTCTGTACAAGGTATTCCCGAGCCCACTGTTGCTTTTCTGTTTTGGCGAGGCTTTGCCGCTAAGCCCGTGTTCGCCTTGTGCAAGGCACTGGGGTGCGGGAATGAGGGTTTTTGGTCGAAATCCAGCTTTTTTTTGAGAGCGGGGGGCTTGAGCGTCCCAACTTGAAGCCCTTGCCATCCCCAACCTCGGGTTTAGGGTGAAGAGCGAGCTCTCGGCTCTGCAAAAGGCCGCTCTGAAGGTCGTCAAGGACGGTGCTCCACCGGATGTCTCTGATTTGGGCAAAGAAGCCCTCTTGGACATCGAGCGAATCAAGACTCTCGGAAATCCAGGGGTGTGCTCTCGCTGTCACTGGCAGAGCGGCTGCCCCTCTTGCGATGTTTTCAAGTGCTCTCGGTACCATGTCCGAGTGCTCTGCCGCTCTCTCGGGAAGAAACCCCCGGAGTGGGCTCGCTGATCGCAGACTCTCAAAGGTCCGAAATCTCAGCCGAAGCTCTGCCGCGCTTGCAGTCTGTAGTTGCAGATTCTTTCTCTGTCTCTGCAGACCTGAAGCCCTCGTAGTAGCTACAGTTTCT